ACGGGGAATAGAGTAGTGTAGTGGTAAATCTGCCCAGTGTAGGTGTGCAACTTGTATTCATAATTGTTGAGTTGTGTTTTCTTTCACCGAGCTTATTTGTGTTGGAGATTTACCACAACACATGATCATGCAATGTAACTAGTGAGTAAACCAGGAAGCTTCATTCACGCTGAGTAACTCCCCTGGCCAGGCACAGAAGGAGACTTCACAGTGAAGAGGTCACTAGACATCACCGTTGTGGGACCATCAGCATGGACCTCACTGACAACAGCCAAAGCTGAGGACATGCCTGGCTGATGAGACACTCCCGCCAAGCTTTGAGTAGACATCACTCAAATGGAACAGGGGCTTGTCCCAACGCTGAACTGTACTCCTCAAAGCTGAGTACCCGGGCTCCCGAAGGCCAGGGGAGCTGTTGCAGGTCAGGGAGGATGAGGAGTAATCAATCATACAGATGACAACCCTAAGTGGGTGACAGTTAACTAGATGCAGGCTCTCTTCTCAGGCATGCACCTTAAGTGACTGTGGGAACTACCACTCTACTGACACCACTTGGAAAATCTTAACTGTTTGACCGTGGTACCTTACACCTTCACTTTATAGTGGCCTACAAACCAAGTCAATCTTATTCCCAGCCCAGATCTGCATTATGTTTGCAAAACTGGTGTCCATTTTGATGTTTCCTGAAGAGCCAACAGGGTCAACTATGAAAGCCTTGTAACCTGATATCACTTGAGTAGAGGGCAAATACTGTTTTTGTTTGGTTGACTTTGAACAGGGTTTCTCAGGGCTGGCTTTACAGCCCACCCTGGTTTTTACCTGTGATTGTCTTGACTCATCTTACAGAGTGGTTTTGGGCATGCGTTTATAAATCATCACTTGAGATTCCTTCCAGCAGATGTTTTGGGGTTGAGAGACCTGTCCCTGTGACTCTAACCATCTCAGAATTCCTGTCACAAATTCCTCTGAGATCTCACTAGAGGGAGGGGCTGCAAGCCAGGAGGACCTGCTGTGACCTCAGAACCCACAGGAGAACATTCTTTAAACCTTCTGATCTCCAGATAAGAGGCAGCAAAAGCCCTTTTGACAACTTGGTATTCCAATCCTTTTTCTCCTCCCATGGAGACAAGGCTGGTCAGACAACCACAGACAAACCTTAAGACAAGGTTCCCAGCGGCAGTAACAAAGTGTATGTAGCAAGTGGGCAAGTCCTGTGGAGCCCAGCACTGCTAGGCCACAGAAGCCCTGACTCTTGTTCTTTTTTTTTTTCTTAAGATTTATTTATTTTATGTATATGAGTACACTGTTTCTGTCTTCAGACACACCAGAAGAGGGCATCAGATCCCATTATAGATGGTTGTGAGCCTCCATGGGGTTGCTGGGAACTGAACTCAGGACCTCTGGAAGACCAGCCAGTTCTCTTAACCACTGAGCCATCTCTCAGCCCTGGACCTCTGGCCCTTACAGTCTATGCACACACAATACATCCAGGTTGTCACACACTGGCATTCACATGAGCATATAGAAGTCACCCATATGCCTAACATGCAAACATCCTTACACACAGGCATCCACACCACCACATGTACTCATATTCACACATACACACATGAACATTCCCATGAACACACACGCATACACAGCCATTCGATCTGTACTCATACATATGGTTACTTATAGGCACGCCCATGCATACCTGTACCTGTAGGCACTTGTGCATGTACTTCTAGACACACATACCCACATACATGCATGAGACTGTGGGTGCATGAGACCCTGTGGGACTGTGGAAATCCTGGGATGTTTGGCCACGTCCCCAGAGACCTAACATGAGGTCTCCATGTAACATAAGGCCCAGGTAGAGGGCAGGGAAACAGGTCTCTGCCTCAAGATTTACAGAAAGGCCCTGGCCCCGCCCCTCTCCTGCTTCCAATATAAACAAACCCCTTCTGGCATTTTTTGGGAGAGCACACCACCATTCAAACCCATTGCCATGTCAATAAATCTCCACATGTCTCTTGTAATTCTGGACTCATTGTGTAAGTGGAAAACCCACACGGGGCGGGGGGTGGGGGGGAGAAGCCTTACAGCAACTGTCCGTGCACCACCGTCGCAGCCCCCCCCCCACTCAGCTGCGACCCTGGTACACTAGCGTGACCCATCTCGCGTCCCACCTGGCGTGCAGCATCTCTGCGCCCCTATTCCCGAGACCCTGCCTTCACCAAGGCGCTTGGCTCGACCTCTTTCCCTACACCCTCGGTTTGCCAGAGGTCTGCACTGCTGAGTCTGGCCGGGAGGTACCATAGCAACAAGCCTGCCCCTCGCCCCTGCCCGCGACCCCGCCCGCCACCCGTGCGCGAGTTTTGACCCACAAGACCCAACAGGAACTCACATTTATGCATGTTCTTAGGGTATACTCTTGAAGCTGCATGTAAAAATTTAGGCTGTGCTACCATATATACCTAGAATCTAGGTGAGAATATTATGGTTGGGCCTGACAGATACACTCCTCCTCACAGCCTGAAGATTTTGTGTTTTCTTCTTTTCTTTTTTTTTTTTGTTTGTTTTTTTTTTCGAGACAGGGTTTCTCTGTGTGTAGCCCTGGCTGTCCTGGAACTCACTCTGTAGACCAGGCTAGCCTCGAACCCTCGAACTCAGAGATCCGCCTGCCTCTGCCTCCCAAGTGCTGATTTCTTCTTTTTGTTTGTTTTGTTCTTGAGATAGTCTTGCTGTATTACCCAGGCTGCCATCTCGATTCTCCTGCCTTTGCCTCCTCCCACACACTAAGACTACAGGTCTGTGTTACCATGGCCAGCTTGGAGCTGTTTTAAACAGGAAAACTACCACCAAGGTGTGCCAATATGTGACTAAGGTAAAAGCCCATGAAAAGGACACTTATTTAAGGTTAAGAGCAGATGGACGCAGAATGTTGGCTTATTCTATCTCAGCTGGAGTCCACATTGAGTTATGAGTCAAATTCATCTGTGTGGGTCCTGGGATAGCTGAAGGTGTGAAGACCAGTACAGACTTCCTGAGCACAGATAACAAGGATCTGCTGTTTTGGCCTAAGAGATGTTTACAGATGCTGACTTGATAAAACTTGAAAAAGACATTTGTCCTGGAAGACAGCAGCCTGCTGGCTCTGACTGCTGGTGGCTGGATGTTACCGGCTATTATTGGGAGCGATCAGATGTCACTGTGGCACCTGGAGCCATCTGAGCGCAAGCAGAAGGAGTAGTGTGAGTTCCACTCAACAGCGCTCCCCGAGTGGCCTGTAATCTTGTTTCAGCTCACTGGAAATTAGCATCCTTTCTGCAGTCTAAGTACCCTGTTTTTCACGTCTTTCATGTTTTTGAGCCTTTTGCTGATGTTCTGCTATTTAAAACAAACCAGAAGATTAATTTACGAGATGCAGCATAAACAGTAAATTGAGCCTTCACCTTGGAGCTCATACAAACAACTCAGCACAGCACGACAGAGTTGTGCAGAGCTTGTGTCTAAGAGCCACAGTCTCCCTCGGGGGTAAAGACCAGGTCAGCTGGCACAAGGATGCATTTTAGGAAATACACATGGGAGAGGGGAGTCAGAAGAACATTTCTGTCACCTAGAGTAATCATATCTAGGTCACAGGCAGGGTCACTTGAGCACCCCTTCACCCTGATATAGCCTTTCTACTCCATTACAGCCTCCACACAAAGGTTTTTCTTGCTTTTGGCACCCCTTTCCTCAGCCAGCCTTAATGGGGGGGGGGGTGTTATTTACCTAGTTGTATTACAACCTGATATGCCATATTTGTTTGATATCCCTGGTAGGCCTGCTCTTTTCTGAAGGGAAACAACATAGGAGGCATGGATCTGGAGGAGAGGAGAGATGTGGGGGAGAGATCTGGAGGGGAGGAGGGAGGAGATACTGCTGTTGGGGGTGTATTAAATGAGAGAAGAATTATAAAAAAAAAAAAAAAGCCTTCAAGTTATCAGTCAAAGGGGCTTCTGGAGACACTTCCGCACAAAAATACTCTTAATTGTTCAACAAATTTTGATGGTAATATCGTATTGCTGATCATAAGACATGGAGTATTCAAGTGGGTGCTGACCTGGAAACTGCACCTGCTGGCTACCTTTCATAGTACTAGAAGACGCTACGCAGGCTGCTGCAAGAGAGGTCCTCAGACGCCTTACCTATTGTGAGCTGTACAATAATGGCCACCCTGGTGAGATATGCAACAGAGGCATGAATCTTATAGTAATAAGCAGTTACTTTCTGATTGGATTTGAGGTCCATTCTACAGAATGGAACTCATGCCTGGTACTGTAACCTTGTCAAGAGCCTGAAGCTGGGAGGTCATAGGCCCTGGAGAACCTGCAAATATCATTTTGCTAGATGGACGTAGAGTGAAACTGCTTCTCTTTATACCCACAGATTAGTGTAGTCAGATTCCTCATCAGAGAAGTGGGCGGCAGACTCACAACTGCGCAAAGCACTGAGAAGTCCACGAGTCATTCACTGTAGCCCTAAATGGGGTGTATCTACACCACACCTTCTCTCCCTCAAATCTCAGGGAGTAATTTTCAAGAGAAGGGCAGAAAGACTGTAAGAGTCAGGGGTAAGAGTCAGGGGTCAGGAAGCACTGCTGCACAACACTGTCTCCTGGACATGACAGTTCGCTGCACTGGCTGCCTGCAAAGATCATGCCAGTCACCACTTCAGCGTGTACTGAGGATGGGCTCACAGGCCTCAGCTCTAGATAAGGAGCTACTGGCAGTTGCGGCTGCTGGGGCAGGAAGAGTCAGTTTTCTCTAGGGGCAGCACAGATGTAGCCCTCGTGGGTTGCCTGTGCTCCAGGGATGGCCCCATACCCATGTTGCATAGGGTAGCACCCATTAGATTCAGTGAGACATGAAGCTGGGAGGGAGACTCAGGGAACAGTAATCCTACAGTAGTTAGAAGGGAGACGAGAGATGCAGACTGTTAAAAATACATTGTGCATATACACAAAATTCTCGAAGAGTAAATACAAAATATTTTATTTATCCGGGACCAGGGACCAATCCCTGAGACCTGCAGATGCAGTCCTATGGGTTCTGTGCCCAGGTCTCCTGCCACTGAGGCTAGGCTGCCTCCATGAGTGACTGTGAGGTAAGATACTCCAGGTCTGTGAGTTTCTTGGTGATGTTATTTTTTAGTTATGCATGAATGTTGGAGAAAAACCAGTGAGTCTGGACAGGTAATGGAGCGTACAGACAGCTGAGGAAGGTCTGCACCAAGAGCTCCGCCTTCATCTCCTGTCCCTGGAGACAACTCTACACTCTGCTCAGAGGCTCTGGCCTGCAGTCTGACCCACAGGCAGGGGCCAGCAGCTTAGAGGCCCCACCCCTACCTCTGCTCTCTTTTGCTACAGAGCCCCTGCTGCACGCTGTCACCTCTGCGCTCTGCTTCCCACTCGTCCTCTGCCTCGTGGGCATGGCATTCCCACTCTGAGCTGCTGTCCTCATCCTCATCTTCCTCACCCAAAAGGAAGCTTCTGGGAGAAGCGTCCTGGTGCTGCCGGGATCGGGCCTTCTTTCTCTTTCGGCGCAAACGAGTTGGATCAGGCGCCTGCTCCCGCTCTGATGGTGGCACCAGGCTCATACACTGGAGCCCTCTCTCCTTCTTGCGTTTGTACTCCATTACTTGCTTGTTCAGTGCCTCGTGGTCAATCCCACACAGATTTGGGTGTGCGGTTGGTTCTGGGGAGTCATGTGGTGCCTGGGCATTAGCATTCCTGTGAGAGAAGAGAAGGCTTCACACAGAGCCCAAACTAAGCTCCAAAACACAGTATAAAGAAAAAATCATCTACACCTCCCGTGCTACATCTCCCCTCTTCTGAGGGTGACAGATGTAGAAAGGTAATCCTGGACAGTGGCTCATGTGACCAATGTGTGCGTCTCAGCATGGTGGTATATAGGCAGCCACCCAGAACTATGCAGACATGGGCTGGACCCAGGGGCAGGTACCAAGGGGGCCATGTGGGCTAGTAGAAGCACAGACTGAGTGGATGCTGTGGCTTAAGCATCTGCCACAGGTAACAGAAAGATGTCTACATGGCTCACCTCAAACCGTCCAAGTCATCCCTTTCATCTGGGGGTCCAAAGTCAGCTATTGCCAGTAATCGATCTACCTGAAAGGAGAGTACAGGGGAAGGTATGCCACAGGCTACAGCATCACAGCCTGGCACTCAGCCCAGCACAAGTCTACTGGCTTCAGCTAACACCACTGCAGACGCCTTTTCAATGCAGTGACCCACCCCCTCGCTGTTCCATTAACTTGTCCCAAGTTCTCTGACAACAACTGAGGCTCCCCGAGTTTGTAACATTCGGCAAGGCTGTGAGGAAAATAAACACTGGCTGAATTACATAACTAACATTTACTGGTTTCTAAGGAGCTTTTGCAAAATAATTCCATTTGGCCACAAAATTTTGAGTGCTTGGGGACAGGAAGCCTCTAGCACAGCAAGAACAGATGTGAGGTTGTCACAGTCTCAGCCATAGGAGCCCACTGTGGGGTCAAGAGGTCTGAGCCAAAAGTAGCAGCATTTGGGAGTCAGAGGCCGGGGAATCTCTGTGAATTAAAGGTCAGTCTGGTCTACATAGCAAGTTCTAGGCAATTCAGGGCTATACAAAAGACTCTGTCTTAAAAATAAAGTAAACCAACTAAAAGATGAAATTTTATCCACTGAAGTTCAAGGACTATAAAAAAAAGTATAAAAAGCTAATCATTTGGGCAGGGGAGTGGCTCAGTGGGTAAAGACACTTGCAGACAAGCCTGGTGACCTTGAGAGATCCAAAAACCTTGGGAATAAAAAATTTCAATTCTCAGAAAACAAACCAGGCTCCTCAGAGGGAGCCACTGACAACGGGCCATTGATCAGTGATGACCCTGACATCGGGAGGAGGAGTCTGGAGCTGAGTCAGTTCCTGAGCCAGCTGGCTAGAGGAGATAACAAGGCTGAGCTGGTTTCTCAAACTCTCCAAGGTCTCACCAAATAGAATGGAACTATCATAGCAACCAATCAAAATTGTACTAATGTCATTGCTGCTTTTCTAGCCAATCATATTAAAGGTTACCTAACCTTCCGGAAAATTCCCCTATCCCTACAAAAAAGGGGCCCTGTGAGCTCCTCTGGTGGTTGCCATTTTGATGAATGGTTGACCCCTGCATGCTGGTAATTTCTGCAGAATAAATGTTCTTTGTCTTGTATACTATTTGAGTCTGGGGTCTTCCTTCACCTATTCTCTGACCCTAACAACCGGAGTAGGACCCTCAGAACAGACATCATAGAAGGGTATCCTCTGACCGCAACACCCACTGTGCTAACTAGTTTTATACCAATTTGACATAGCTAGAGACATCTGGGAAGAGGAAACTTCAACTGAGAAAATGTGGACACTTTCTGGCCTGTGGGCAAGCATGAAGAGCACTTCCTTAACTAAGGATTGCTATGGGAATGTTTAGCCCACTGTGGTAGCACCACCCCTGGGCTGGTGGTCCTTGGGCATATAAAGGAGCTAGCTGAGCAAGCCATGAGGAGGAAGGTGACACGCAACACTCCTACATGGTCCTTGCCTCCAGGTCACTGTCCTGTTTGAGTTCCTACCCTGACTTCCCTCACCGATGGACTGTGAGGTAGAACTGTAAGCTGACATAAGTTCTTCCCTCCCCAGTTGCTTTTGGTCCTGATTTTTTGTCATAGCCATAGAAACCCTAACTAAGAGCCCACACCAAAGCGAATAAACAGGGCTGGGGAGATGACTTGGTGGTTCGGAACACCGGCTGCTATTCCAAAGTGTCTGGGTTTAATTCCCAGCACCCACACACACTAGTTCCTGGGATCAAATGGCCTTTTCTGGCCTCAGACGGCACTATATGCATACAGTACAGACATACATGCAGGCAAAACACCCATATTCATAAAAAAAAATTTAAACTATTAAATCAGCAAACAAACACACAAATAAAAGCTCATTCTGGTGTACATGAGATTTAAAAAAAAGCTAATTACTGTAAAAGCTCACCTCAGCCAGGATTATGTCTCTTTTGTCTCGAACAAACACGATGGGTGGAACATTTTGCAGGGTTTGCTGAGATATCAGAAGATGCCTGAGGAGAGAGCTCAGGACATTTAGTGGAGAGGAGCCAAACACAAACTACATCAGACTCACAAATTTACCAGGTGATAAGGGACACTTGCTCACTACGGAGGCAGAGGGGGCAGGATGCAAATGAAGGGGGATGGGGACGGGAAGCTTCAATGAATCCTTTTCTAAACCGTCTCATCATATAGGACGCACCATACCATAGCTGGTCTTCACTCTCCAAGGCGACTGAGGCCTAAGGAAGAAGTAGTTTGAATTGAACTCACAGCATCCTGTACTCAGTGGACACTCCCTGAAAGGACTCCAACCTGACATCTCTGCATGCTAGACATGAAAGATTTTGGTACAGCTCAGTAATGTGATACAGACCAGACAAATGAGGTCTAGGCCTTGCAATCCCTTGAAGCTCTGACCCCTAATTTTGGGCAATCACAATAGTCTCAAAGATGCATTTCACTCTGTTAACTTTCTTCTGGTCCTTCTTTGATGATTGTAGACACTCTCTATGGAAGTGGATGCCCATGAGACAGTTCACAGACGGACAAACAGACATGCTGGACGAGACCCACACATGGGTTCCCAGCACAGTCTTCTTCCTGAAATGGAGTAATATATGAAGGGAGGGCAAGAACTGCAGGGAGGAGCGGAGGGAGGTCTGTGGAGGCGTCTGGCTCTGTGATGCTGAGACACATGGCCAGATGGATTTCTGCCTGCTTGCCTGCCTGCCTGCCTTCCTTCCTTCGTTCCTTCTTTCCTTCCTTCCTTTTTTCTTTCTTTCTTTCAACTGAATAAATGGAGTGTACTGGCTGGTTTTGTGTCAATGTGACACAAGGTAGAGTCATTAAAGAGGAAGGAGCTTCAAGTTTAGGAAATGTCCCCGTGAGATCCAGCTATAGGACATTTTCCCAATTAGAGGTCAGTAGAGAGGGGCCAGCCTATTGTGGGTGGTGGTCTGGGTTCTATAAGAAAGAGGCTGAGAAAGCCATGAGGAGCAAGCTAGTAAGTAGCACCCTCCATGGCCTCGGCATCAGCTCCTGCCCTCAGGTCCCAGACCTGTTTGAGTTCCTATCCTGCTTTCCTTCAAGGATGAACAGTGATACGGGAGTGTAAGCCAATAGACCCTTTCCTCCCAACTGGTTTTTGGTCATGGAGATTTGTCACAGCAACAGACACCTTACTAAGACACTGAATAACTTCATTGTGCCCAAGCAGCTCATTAATTTTCAAACCTCTGGGTCTCACGACCCTTTACAATTGTGAGAAGTTACTGAGAATGACCAACAGGTTTTGTTCATGTTGTTCTACTGATGTTTACTCCACTGGAAATTAAATCCGAGAAACCTAAAAATGACATTATTTTAAAAGTCATTTAAAACAGTAAGCCTACTAACTGCGGACACACATACTTTTCATGAACAAATGATTTTTTTAAAGAAGTGTTGAGAGCAGTGTCCTGGTCTCTGTGTCTGCACGGTTCTGAGGACCAGCTCAGCAGAGGGACAGCTAGTGCTTCCCTTCGCACTTACTTCCTGTTGCTATTCTTGCTGATACACATGAAACTGTGGCCTCACACAGATAAGAAACCGAGGAAGGGGAAATGTATTAATAGTCCTTAGGAAAGTATGGATCATTTTGGCCCTCCATGCAACCTCACACAACCCAGTATCATATTATAATGCATCAGGGTCTGGCAGGTTAGCCAACCTTCTCCCCGGTGTGGTCTTACCATCTCGGATGCTGGTCGACTGGTTGACACTATCAAAACCCTGCACAGTGCAGTGTGGCACTTGTAAAGTCATGATCCCATAAGAACAGACTTAAAGTTCTCCAGGCTATCAAGTTCACACATTTCAGGGTCAACTACTCCAGTTCTCTAAGGGTAAATTTTGCTACCAGCATTGGGCATGACCAGCTACCTGTCTGCTCTTTAGTGGTTCACTTGCACATTCTTCAGAGATGTCTGCTAAGACATCTGCTAAGACCCTACACTTGAGCAACTTCGGGCATTCTCTCACCTAGGGAGTACCCTAGGGAGGACTGTGCCTCAACAGACATTAGAGACCTGCCTGTGCTTCCCACCAAGGGCCAACATTTACAATGATGCATTGTTACTCTTTTCCTTGTTCATCCAGGATGCTTTTAGGTAAATGAGGCACTGTGCATCTCAGTAAGCTTGGGCAGCAGTGGAATAAAGAGCCAGCTTTAACACAGTCAAAATAGCTCTTGCCTAGCCGGGCGGTGGTGGCGCACGCCTTTAATCCCAGCACTTGGGAGGCAGAGGCAGGCGGATTTCTGAGTTCGAGGCCAGCCTGGTCTACAGAGTGAGTTCCAGGACAGCCAGGGCTATACAGAGAAACCCTGTCTCGAAAAACCAAAAAAAAAAAAAAAAAAAAAATAGCTCTTGCCTCACAAAACCCTGAAAAGACTTGTGGAGCCCCACAAGACTTTTGAGAAATCTGATTAGATCAAGTCTTACAGGAAAATGTAATTTACACTCTAAGAATCAAGGAGATGCTTCCAAGATTTTCCTGAAAAGAAAAAACTTCTCAATGAGAAATTGTAAAGTTTACCTACAGACAAACGGCCAAGGCACTTAAGGTTCAGGTAGAAGGCGGTACTCAGAGGAAGCAAACCCCATCACCTCATGTAAGCGGCACTCCTCTGCAGGATGACCTCTGTATGCTTGTTCTGCTCCGCAGAGACATCTGTCTTCCAGTACACCCGGCAGGCTGAGAAGTCTGAAGTCACAGAGACCTGAAACGCCCCCCAATGCTTGTCACTTTAGGTTTAGTGTGTACAGTTCATGCAGTCTACTGAGGATAGCAACTACAGCTTCTTCTGCCCTTGGCGCCTTATTCTGGTGATGCCAGCCAGAGAGTACAGCATTCACCGAGTGGGAAGTCGGGTCACAGACACCCACGCTCACCTCCCTTCTCTCAGCTCAACCCCATGTACCCTACAGCACTGCTCAAAGCTCCTTCTAGGAAAGATGGAGGCCCCTCGCCATGCTTATAAAGACAAAGGCCCTGTGGAACCCTGTGGAACCCTCGCCACAGTCCCAAGCTGCTTCTGATGCTTTGGCTCCTCACACTGGCTGACACTAGGTAGCCACAGGTTCCTCACCCAGGAGGAGTACGCAGGCAGACCTGCCTGTGCACCTTGACCCACAACTGAAACCAGACTTGGCACCTCTGCAGCCCCAAACCAAGACCTCAGGTGAGGGCTTAAAGACTAAGCTTGTGCCCTCCTGCCCCCACCCTGACCTCTGCTCACCTTGGAGAGCTCCACGTTCAGGTCATAGACCTCCTGGCTCACTTCAGGAGTGCACAGCAGCTCTGTCAATGATTTGTAGAGAATGCCATTCAGGACTCGCAGGCGTACACTGTCTTCCTTCCTAGTCTTCTTTAAGGTGTTCTTCATGAGGAACTCATACTTGGATGTCTTGGGAGTCAAGTGAGACCCCAGGGATGGGCTTTCATACCAAAACTTCTTTCTGTATCAAGAAAACAAAAATTAGGTTGGAAGGGGGAGGCTGGAGAAATGGCTCAGTGGTTAACAACACTAGTTAGTCTTTCAGGGGACCTGGGTTCAGTCCCAGCACCCACATGGTGTCTCACAATCACTGTTCCAGGGAATCTGACAAACTCTTCAGACCTCCACAGGTACCAGGCTTGCACACCATGTACATAACATACATGCAGGCAAAATACTCATACACATACATCAATCCCTTGTTTGTTTGTTTGTTTGTTTGTTTTTCTGGCCTTGAACTCAAGAGATTGCCTGCCTCTGCCTCTGAGTGTTGGGATTAAAGACATGTGCCACCACCGCTTTAAAACTCAGGTACAAAGATCAAGCGATGGCAATGCACAACTTTAAATCCAGCACTCAAGATGGAGAGGCAGGTGGATTTCTGTGAGTTAGAGGCCAGACTGTTCTGTAAGTTCTAAGACATTCAGAGCTGTTACACAGAGAAACTGCCTTGAAACACACACACACACACACACACACACACAGGGTGAGGGGAGAGGGGAGGGAGAGAGAAAAAACCTCATACACATACACATAAAATTTAAAAAGAGATAGGGACTCTTTTTTAAAAAAAAAATTAGATGAGAGTGCTATGACAAGTTAAAGAAAGTTTTACATAAACTACATCAAAATGCTGTGACACTTCAAGAATATGGTGACTCCACTGGACACAGGGGCGTGTTAATGGGATTCTAACAACTACTAAAGTTTAGTGGACAACAACATGGCTGTGGGGAAGGGTCAAAGGGACACTTAACCCTGTAATTTTGACTTGTGTCTCTCTACAGTGGAAGGACCAATAAGCCTTTAGATTTTATCTCCAAATTTCACGAAAATGCTATGCCTCGTTTGCCATTCATGAAGATAAAGGCTGACGGCTCTGGTGTGCTCCACTGAAAATTTGGGAAACAGGGAAGCCTCACTTCTCACTGTTAGAACAGGAGCGAGTTCCAGGAGAGCAGGGAAAGAGGACAAATGGCCACATAAGTACAAAATGCTTATCACTAGAGGGACCAAAGGCAAATACAACACAAGTCAGCGCACCCGGATCCCAGACCATTTTTTCCAGCACCTTCTAGTAACCTGGGCTCCTCATAACTGGTAACACAAGCTGGTACCACAAGTCCACAGTGATGAATGAATTAAATGAAGGAGACATCTCCCACAAAGAATTCCAAATAACCCACGGCCATAATTCTTCACCTCTTAAGGTCAGGGGCTACACCTATCAGCTTCCTACCAAAAATGACAAAAGGGACAGCTGACCCCCAGACACTGGCTATAGACACCCCTCGATAAGACAAGATAAAGTGGTAGGAAGCTCAGGGCTATATACACCAATATAATGGATAAAATGGTGCTTTTCCTCTGTTTCTTTCTCCCCAAGTCCACAACCCACATATAATCATGAAGAAAATATCGAATTTCAGCAGTGTGCAACCACACAACCTCCAACCAGGATTCTCCAGAACAGTTACAGCTGTCAAACAGGGAAAGACTGACCACGAGCTACAGTGTCTGGATAGGAAAAGACATTAAGAATGGCACATTAAGTTGTGATAGAGACTCTAAGGCCAGTCTCAGAACTATGCACTTCTTCATAAACCTAAAACCACCTGTAAAATCATTTGTTAAAACAACACCCCCCCAAAAAAAATATATATATATATATATATATATATATATATATATATATATATGTATATAAATAAAAACTGGCTTACCACACTTGGTAGATTCTAAGATGCTGTGGAAATAAAAAACATATATTTTTTTTCTTGTCTTGTTTTTGGAGACAGAGCTTCTCTGCTTAACCCTGACTATCCTGGAACTCATACTGTAGACCAGGCTGGCCTTGAACTCAGTTCAGAGATCCGAGTGCCTCTGCCTCCCAAGTGCTGAGATTAAAGGCCTACGTGGCCACTGCCCGGCAAAATCAAAGTATCTTATATCTTTATTACTAAAAATATCTAATTAAGTCAAATTTTATGCACTGTGAGACTTCAGGAGTGTTAACACTGTGCAAAAATAAACTTAAAGTGTGAAGAGAACGTGGAAATTGTCAAAGGTCAAGCTGCAATAACCATCTTCCAATCTGCCAATAACCATCTTCTAACACGAACAGACATCTGTCCCCATGGTCCCGGCCCAACACCTCGTGGACACCCGTTCCCTGTAGAAACCGCCTCCATCCAACCGTGCACCAGGCGACCAGGCCCGCAGCGGATCCTGGTCGGAGCATACCTGGTTTTCGAAGCAAATTTCTTGAGCAAGTTCTTGCTGCCGCAGGAGGCGACCGAGGTGTGCAGGGCCGGCGAGCGGCGGGGAAGAAACGCGGGCCTGTGGCTGCCCCGCAGAGCCTGCAGCCCCGCGCAGGAGCTTCTCAGACCCGCGACGCCGGCCCACATGCCTCCGAGCGCGGGGCCCGCAAGCACTAGTGGGCGCCTGACCGACTGGAGTGTAAGCCTTAGACGACCAAAGACGCGACCTGGCAACAGAAAGCCCGGGCCACTGAGGGCGGGGCTAGCCCGACATGTGGGCGGGGCCGCGGCGCAGCATTATGACTGCTGTGGGCGGGGCACAAACAGTGGGCAGTGTGGGCAGATCCCCAAACCACCCGGATTTTTTATTTTTAGCCGTACAGTTATTTTATTATTTACTTATGTAAATGCGTGTGTGTGACATCCACACGTAAAAGCAGGTGGCTCCGGAAGCCAGACGAGAGCGTGGCGTCCCCTGGAGCCAGAGTTAGAGAGTTAAGAACTGCCTGATGGACTCCTGGAAACTCAGTACTATGGTAGAGCAGCCAAGTGCCCTTAACAGCTTAGCCATCTCTTCAACCCCACCAAGTTTATTTTAAAGCAAGGCCATGGTGTCCATACGGTAGTGTGCATTTCAAAAAGCTAGAAAGGTGTTTTGATCGTTTCACCACTAAAGAAGGAACAAATGTTTGAGGAGACAGTTAAGCTTAACATGACTGAAACATGCAATGCACTGGGTATGTAACGGTATGTGGTGGTAATCAATACAATACTGTCTCTGCTTTGATGTTTTAGTTTTAAGATTGTTTAAAAGTGAAAAACCAGAGTAGAACGCAGAAAAAGAACTAAGAAGGCTCTGCATCCAAGCACTTTGGGTGAGGAGACCGAGGGGAAACGGGCCTGGGCCTAACTCACTCTGCCTGCAATCTCCTGAGGTCTCTGTTGTCCTTACTACCGTTAGTTTTCCTGCTCTGCCTTTTTCCTGTAATATTTCCACGCTTCAACTCAAATGAGCAGTGTTTCATCACTGAGGAGAACATTTAGCACAGGGACGTACATGTCAGATTTTAACAAGATGGAAGATGACATGGTCCACTGGAAAATCAGTAGCTCTAGCCCAGAGTGTTCACCCAAATTCAAACTAAAAACTAAGCATAGCGTTTTTATCTAAAGCTGCTGTCTTCAGGCTGAGCTTTTGTAGTTGGTTTTGAAGGACAATGACCTATTCTTCCAGCTGTTGCTCCAGGTCATTTGTTCCAAGTAGCATGGGAAGTCATGCTGTAGTCAGTACAAGCAGTGCTTTAAGTCAGTCACACACAAAGCAATGAACCAGAATCTAATAATCTAATAACTGATGTTTTGTACCTTATTCTATTTCAGTAGGGTGTTAACAATTCAGAATAACACTGATGCTTTCCCATATTAGACAGTGGGCAGGTTGCATGGCAGCACATTGAAAAACAACCATGAGCAAGCCTGGGAACAGAGAAACTGGCTCTGTCCTGTTTGTGGCATTTGAATCCATGAGAAAAGACCAAAGAGAGACTCGATCCAAATTTTGATTAAATGAATTTATTCTTACTGTTAACAGAAGGTCAGCAGCCTTACAGCCACACAGCATGCTGTGCAGAAGTGGGGTTAAGGTGGGGTTTTAAAGGCAGACCTCAGAAAGGTGTTCTTTACAACCATACATGGTATCCACAGCTGGGCAGGAAAACTATTTTGGTTTCCTCAGTTGTTTTTTTCTTTCTCACTATGTAGTAATAAAACAACCATTTCTCTAGGCAGTGATGGTACACATCTTTAACCCCAGCATGCAGGAAGGGGAGGTGGGTGGATCTCTAAGTTTGAAGCCAGCTTTGTCTATGGTGCCTTCCAGGACAGCCAGGGCTACACAGAGAAACCCTGTCTCAAAACAAACAAGCAAGCAAGCAAACAAAGACCATTCCATTTCTTTCCCACAGTGATAAGCAGATTTTACAGAGGCAAAGGCAGCTGTTGATGCCTTATAGCCCATTGTCCTGTTCTTCTCTCATGGGCAGTCCACTAGGAGTTCCCAGGTATCCCAGAGTAAAAGGTCTTAAGGGATGTCTGGCTCCAAAGTAAGGGTCTTTAGCCATCACGGGGGACCTGTGCAAATTATTACCCAGGTCTGAGCACTCTAATGACGGAGATAGAGCACTTCATTTCTGGGCAGGCAAATACACAGTGTCATCTAGTTAAGGCTGGCTGTCATATCCCCTCAGTCCAAACTAATTTGGAACACCCCCCCACCCAAACCATGCCAATGGGCATGTATCAACATTTGCCCATAGTAATGTATGGTAGATAAATGAGTGCTAGTTCTATGGGAGAGGTAAAGAACATACCTGTAGCCACTTGTGCTGGCTCATTTGTGTAATCCCAATAGTTGGAAGACTGAGGTAAGAGGATTCCTTTAAGGGCCACTCTGAGCTACAGACTTAAGATCTCAAAAAAAAAAAAAAATCCTGTGGAGCGGTGGTGGCGGACGCCTTTAATCTCAGCACTTGGGAGGCAGAGGCAGGCAGATTTCTGAGTTCGAGAGTTCGAGGCTAGCCTGGTCTACAGAGTGAGTTCCAGGACAGCCAGGGCTACACAGAGAAACCCTGTCTCGAAAACAAAACAAAACAAAACAAAATCCTTTGCAAATCTTAATAGCTTACTCAGTGATGAAACAAAATTGTCTTGTGGACATGCTGGCATATGCTATTTCTCTTCCATATAAATATACCACATGGATATTGGTGAATAACTGTATTGGGAGTTTGAGATAAAATTTCAGTCTCAAGATAGATCAGTGAAAAATGACTAGAAAATGGATTTAGTTAAATTCTACACTAAATCGTTACATCTAAGCTTTCCATCTAGTGTAAATATTAGGAGATCAAACGATAACTTTTGATCAAACTTGCTCAACAGTATAAAAATGAACACAGGGCATGATGACACGACACACACTTGTGGTCCCCGTGGGAAAGAGGAGCTGAGGATTTGCTTTACAATGGGCATGTAGCTACTGCTGCTGCTAAAAAGCGTGTTTCCTGGGCCCACAAGGTAACAAAAAGCAGGATGAAGGCCTGCCTGGCATCTCTCTTTTGTCACTTTACATTTTACCTTTCTCTCTTTTGTCATAAAACTGTGGGCCAGGCTCCTGCCTAACTCTGTATGTAAGTAAGTACATGAGTCACTCCAAGAGTATCTATCTAAAAGTCGGTAAGACTTAGCCTGCCCTCCTCCTTCAAGACTGAAGTGCAAAATAAGAGGAACTGAGGCATTTTACTGTCAATATTTGCAGTGACCTATTCCAGCCCCACTGAAAGTCACCTAAAAGACTCAAGTCATTGTCCTAAGCCTGATGATGAAAATGATACAGGTGGCAATACATTGATAACAGGACTTCAAGAGTCATCTGCAAAGCAACCATTGTAATACACTATGCCAGAAACAGAAGGAAAGGCTGTGTCTTCCCACAATGCTGGAATGTACAGAAG